CTGCCACGACTGGCTTGGCAGTGGCCTATCCTGTCGACCCAATTTTATATAATATTTATTTCGCGTATAGCTCGATAAATATTTTCCTTAAGCGATTGAATTGTTTAACAGATCCCCATTAAAAAATGTGGCTGATGATCAAAATGTGGCACGTTGTATTGTTTGAATAATTTTGCATAATTAATCGGTAGATTTATTCTTTTTAATAAAGCATTAAAAAATAAGAATATTTAAATACTAAAAGGTGCCTTTTTCATAACAATTTCAGAAAGAAACCAGTAGACGGCACACACTATGCAAGTCATTTTTCTGACGAATCTTATCAGTTATCCTATCTTATCTTATATGTCGCATATTGTTTCTTAAGTTATTATTCTCTAAAATTTAATTGCCGACGGAATGTTCTCAGTTGACAAAGTTTCCCCTTTAGACCTTTAGTTTTCCCCTTCGCTTTTCCTAGGCCCGATTCCTATATACGACGATGGAGAAGTTCCGAAGTTTCAGCTAAAAGACAGGCGCGTTCAATTACAGAGTACAAAAGGTTGGCCGATGTCGCCCGTTGTTCTTGTTCGGCCGTACATTTGTTTGTCCTCGATGAGTTCGTCTGGGGCGGATCTCCATTGTCCTTACGGATTGGGTCTTTCGTGGGGATTAATGAGACCGGTTCTTGGCCTCCCAGATCCTCGATCGGAAGATCTAGTTTAATAAGGACCCACTGCTTAAATCTTTTAGCGTGTACTCTAATTAGTGCTTCGTTTCCCATAGTTTCCCGCGGCTCCACCATTTTTGCCAAAGCTTTTAATTAACTTCATTGTCAGAGACGGGACAGGTCTCCCGCATTCATATTTTCGTTCCGAATTTTTCAAATAAAATTGCGGGCTATTACGCATTGTACACTTTAATTAGCGGACTGCGAATTTTATGGCGAAAATGATTAGGTCGAATACGAAACAACAAAAACATTTGAAGAATTTAATAACATTGTTGCATTATTTTCAACTGTCCACGTAGCTCCTGTATCTTGTAATTGGTGCAGACAATTTTTATTTTGCATAAAAATTCGCAGACTATTAATTAGTATTCGTATAATTCGCATTTTATACAGGAAACATCGTCTCACGAGACTTTGCACGTAAAACTACAGTCATACTAATTAAAAGAAATTTGTTTAACGCTGTTCCTGCTAACAATGTGGTCAAGATTGTTTGTCGCGTCGAAGGACATTCTGTTCTATTGCATTTTTTTAAAGTATTCTGCCAATTCCTTGGAAGGGTGACCTTGACACAAGGATAAATCAGTTCGAGAAGTTTCCGTTTGCTCTTCAGTTTCAATAATGTTAAATTCTTTGACACACTCCGACCGTACGTATAAAGCCCGACATTTACACCTCTCCAAGTCTTTTACAACGGGCGCTTTACGTGCTCGCCCCGAAACTGTCGGCAGTGAGTGCTTTACTTAGTATCCTGTGTCTCGAGCACCCACAGTTTGCGCTCCGAGGAGTACGAAAACAGTGCACTTAGCTGAAGGAGAAGTCACACAGTAACATGTATATAGGGTGTGTCGTTAGTTGACATATTTTACATCCTATCCCTTTAATTACCAACTGTTTCGAATCGTTGCCGCGTCGTACTTTCTTCCTTCGATCGATTGAATCGAAAAGAACGAGTACCACGATCGTTTCCTTATATTATTATGAATAATGTAGTTATAAATCTTACGAAAAATATTTATTTAATATTTCCATAAATGAGCTATTTTATGCATTTATGGAAAACATGATTGTTACTGATTTGAAAGCGTAGAAAGATTCAAAGCAATTAATAATCAACCTATTAAAATGATTAAAGAAGGAACGAAGCTTCTAACGAGGGAAGATTCCCAGGGTTGACGCTCACCTTTTTATGAGATTTGGTACAGTGATAGAGCTTGTAAAGCTGAATTCAATTATTTGAAAGAGTAGAAAAATTCAAAGCAATTAATAATCAACCTATTAAAATGATTAAAGAAGGAACGAAACTTCTAACGAGGGAAGAAAACTTTTTTATGAGATTTTGTACAGTGACAGAGCTTGTAAAGCTGAATTTAATGATTCAATTTTTGAGATTTGCTAAGGTTAAAGTCGCTTTCCCCTTCAGACAATTTCTATTTTACTATCCGGTTGTTAAAAAATATGTTTAAAGAGCGAACGAAATTTCGAAGTTGCTTCTATTCTTTCCAACGGACGCAGACAAATTTTACTCTGCAGTCTAGTTATTAAAAATAACGGAAATCCGGCGAGCTCCGAACGACTTTTTCGGCAAGTGTATCTGGCGAATTAGCAACGAAATGGCGGCACCGTATTTATTCCGATTGCCCTCGCCATCCATTCTCATCCCTCGGCCAGAAGCTCGATCATCATAACGAGCGAACCATGCAACGTGTACGTTGCTAAATGTGTTAGTATCTCTGCATGTTTATTCGTACACAGGCCCGTTCCATGAACACCTGATCTCGAAGGTCGGCGTGTCTGCGGTTCAGCCGAAACCGAAATTACGGGGTTAATGGAAGGAAGTCTGGACGTGGCCGCTGCCCTCCTTCCAAGGAAACGGAAAGCGTGGCGAGAAAGGTATCTCACCCTCCTCTCGTTACCGTAGAAAAAGAGCAGCTTGCCCTTTGCCACCGAATCACCCCAGCCCCTCCGTATCTTTTCGCCCGAGACTACCTTCATTTTCGGAACAAATGTGCGCAATTATTTGTTACTCCGGCCTACGCCTCCGCCATTAGAGATAAATAAGAAACTCTGCTGTATCGACGTCGGCGGCCGCTGTTGCCCCGAGATAAGGCATCCTCGAATTTTCTCGGCCTTTCACGGCGGAATAATTCTTAATTAACTTCTTACAGGAAAATCTCGTGGTCGCGAGTATTACCGTTCAATTACGTCTTTATTACGCTGTACAGGAGCGCGCGTAATAAGTACGCGCATTTTGTGAATGCTTGTGTCTCGTTTCGAAAATACCCGAAAAGTAGAATTTTGGCGAATGGTACCATGAACAGCATTGATTTATTTTCGAAATTGTGTTCGTCGTTTACAAATTGCTAATCGAGCAGGACTCGCCTTCTCTGTAATAAAAAACAGAGTATATTATATTTTCCAACAAACGGAAACCACGCCCAAACTATTTATGGATAACAGCGAATCAAATGAAATTAACGACATCAAATTACCGGGGCTCACTTTCGATGGTAAGTCAACATGGGTTCACTTAAAGTATATACCTTGAGAAAATGTGAAAACAATAGAATAAAATATAAACTGACCATAAAGTCGATGCAACGTTAAACGCTGAAAAAAGGATCTTGTTTCGAAATAATAAAACATTGAAAATAAATTCTTCGAAAAGAGAACAAAGACTTTAGAACAGTATCTTTGAAATTTACAAATGCATTCAAGATTGATAAATAGATTGCAGATTTTTATGCAAGATAAAAAGTTTTTAATCTTGACATCTTGGTATTTCGTTGCGGTCTATTGATAAATATCCTATTACGTATGCGCCTTAGGGACTCTGTCGTAGCAAGAGCTAAATTTCAACTTGAACGCTTCATCTTGTAATTAGCCTGCAAAAAGATGAGCTCGCGTAAACGTCGACAGTATGCTAGTAGCACTGTAAGTCAGAGTTTCTGGCGTCAACAACAGGTGGCTTCAAAGCAATATGTCTCCTTGAGATTTCCTTCCGTCTGCGTCTTCTATATAGGGAAGTTTCATCCAGCAGGCATCCTAACGCGCTCCAATATTGCACCATAAGACGTTGGTTATCAGTAGACTGCGGATCTCTTTATGCAAGAGAAAAATCCTCTGCTTCGATCGCAACAAAGAGAAGCTAACCCTTTGCACTCGAGTGGCGACTCTGAGGCACCACTAATATTTGTTATAACACCTTTTAAGATAATTTTAATATTAACAAAGTTTAGAGATTTACAAAATTGTTAAGAGTGTAACTGTTGTGCGAGACCCAAGAGTCAATTTCATGTGCATAAAATGCATTTTGTCATATAGAGTAGAAATATTATAAGTTAGAAAAATGATTTTATATTTTCAGTTAAAATAGCTTCGAGTGCAAACGGTTAAATAATCATTTGCTTTCATTCGTGACATTTATAATAAATTGAGTATAATCTAACGGTATTGTTAAATTTATCATCTGCATTTACCGTTTTGCGTACCACCTACGCACTTTTGTTCCAAACGCATAAAAACGCGGTCTAGCTATCGGGGATGATTTCAACAAAATGTTTCAGCCGTACATCGCGTTCCCCTCCACGTTCTATCCAGTGGCGACAGGCTGCCGGCTAAACCGTGACGTCACCGACGTTCGGATTACTTCGGACTAGTTCGGTTTTTCGGATTTATTCTCGCGCCTCTGACAGTAAAGGCTTCACTTACGACTAGATAGCGGATTTTAAATATTCATGAACAACAACTCATTAAAATTGTTTAAAAAAGATGTTAAAGTCTGTACAGTTCTTGTAGCTTGCAATACATGCAGATAATTCCTATTTTGCATAACAATCTGCAGTCTACTTGTGATACGCGTCTGCTTTGACCAAACAAAACAAATAGTGCCACGACGCTGTCGCTGTGCGACGCTAGTAGTCGACCTACCCCCACTTACCGCATCTTAGCTCGTCACGCGATCCGGGCGACGGTGACGTCACGGTTTAGCCTGCAGATAAACCGACTAACCACAGAATACGAAATCGCTGAGATCGGTAATTCGAACAAGTTCATAATTGTGATCTTGACTTTTATCCGCCATTTTGTGTCCATGTGACGCATATTTCACTGCTTCCGAAATAATGGGATTCATTTCATCCTATCACAGTTCTTATTACTGTTTCGATTTGATATAAACTGACAAATTAAATTTTACATTTCCATCGCATTACTTTCTTCTTATCATTTCGATTTCACGCCGAGAGAAAAATTAAGTTGAACGAGCGGGGCGCCGATTTCGCGAAGACTACGTCATCACGATCTGTTTCAACGCGAGTTCGGGCCTCGTCTCGAAGAATGCGACGGCGCCGTCGTTGAATGGCAGCGAGATGCTTCCGTCGATGACCAAGCCAGCATCGAAACCACCAGACTTCACGGTCAAATTGTCGCATTTCTGTCTTTCGGGACAACAATAGTCGACGGTGCAACGCGTCGTGGCAGTCAGCTCGCGTATCATGTACGTCATCCTCGTGTCCTCTGAAACGAATCGCACGTAATTTGAAGCCGCTACCAGTTAGTACGTAATTATGGCAGACAGTTAATTTCTTTGTGCTTAAAAGGGGTTTTTATTCTTTTCTTCTCGTAACGTTGTGCTGTTACTTTTGACTGAGTTCTTATTCGTTGCATTCGATTAGGCATTTCTTCAAGAATATTTACATATAACATGGCAGTCCATTTTTGTCATGGTAATTGATCAAGTTAAATTGTTAATGTTTTATTGCCAAGATAAAAAATGGAAAACAGAGAATGTTTATGGAGTTTATGCGTTTATGTAGTGCGATAAATAATAAAGAAAATTTAAAACATATTAGAAATGTTCTTGAAGATAATTTAATTATGAAATAGGAAAATGAACTGTCCCATTCATGAATATCCTGTTCGATACAATCAATTAACGAACAGGACAAAATGCACTTTTCAAAAAAATTAAACATAAAACAAGGTTAACTCCTGTCTCTTATACACATCTAGATGTGTATAAGAGACAGATTCATGAATATCCTGTTCGATACAATCAATTAACGAACAGGACAAAATGCACTTTTCAAAAAAATTAAACATAAAACAAGGTTAACTCCTGTCTCTTATACACATCTAGATGTGTATAAGAGACAGATTCATGAATATCCTGTTCGATACAATCAATTAACGAACAGGACAAAATGCACTTTTCAAAAAAATTAAACATAAAACAAGGTTAACTCCTGTCTCTTATACACATCTAGATGTGTATAAGAGACAGATTCATGAATATCCTGTTCGATACAATCAATTAACGAACAGGACAAAATGCACTTTTCAAAAAAATTAAACATAAAACAAGGTTAACTCCTGTCTCTTATACACATCTAGATGTGTATAAGAGACAGATTCATGAATATCCTGTTCGATACAATCAATTAACGAACAGGACAAAATGCACTTTTCAAAAAAATTAAACATAAAACAAGGTTAACTCCTGTCTCTTATACACATCTAGATGTGTATAAGAGACAGATTCATGAATATCCTGTTCGATACAATCAATTAACGAACAGGACAAAATGCACTTTTCAAAAAAATTAAACATAAAACAAGGTTAACTCCTGTCTCTTATACACATCTAGATGTGTATAAGAGACAGATTCATGAATATCCTGTTCGATACAATCAATTAACGAACAGGACAAAATGCACTTTTCAAAAAAATTAAACATAAAACAAGGTTAACTCCTGTCTCTTATACACATCTAGATGTGTATAAGAGACAGATTCATGAATATCCTGTTCGATACAATCAATTAACGAACAGGACAAAATGCACTTTTCAAAAAAATTAAACATAAAACAAGGTTAACTCCTGTCTCTTATACACATCTAGATGTGTATAAGAGACAGATTCATGAATATCCTGTTCGATACAATCAATTAACGAACAGGACAAAATGCACTTTTCAAAAAAATTAAACATAAAACAAGGTTAACTCCTGTCTCTTATACACATCTAGATGTGTATAAGAGACAGATTCATGAATATCCTGTTCGATACAATCAATTAACGAACAGGACAAAATGCACTTTTCAAAAAAATTAAACATAAAACAAGGTTAACTCCTGTCTCTTATACACATCTAGATGTGTATAAGAGACAGATTCATGAATATCCTGTTCGATACAATCAATTAACGAACAGGACAAAATGCACTTTTCAAAAAAATTAAACATAAAACAAGGTTAACTCCTGTCTCTTATACACATCTAGATGTGTATAAGAGACAGATTCATGAATATCCTGTTCGATACAATCAATTAACGAACAGGACAAAATGCACTTTTCAAAAAAATTAAACATAAAACAAGGTTAACTCCTGTCTCTTATACACATCTAGATGTGTATAAGAGACAGATTCATGAATATCCTGTTCGATACAATCAATTAACGAACAGGACAAAATGCACTTTTCAAAAAAATTAAACATAAAACAAGGTTAACTCCTGTCTCTTATACACATCTAGATGTGTATAAGAGACAGATTCATGAATATCCTGTTCGATACAATCAATTAACGAACAGGACAAAATGCACTTTTCAAAAAAATTAAACATAAAACAAGGTTAACTCCTGTCTCTTATACACATCTAGATGTGTATAAGAGACAGATTCATGAATATCCTGTTCGATACAATCAATTAACGAACAGGACAAAATGCACTTTTCAAAAAAATTAAACATAAAACAAGGTTAACTCCTGTCTCTTATACACATCTAGATGTGTATAAGAGACAGATTCATGAATATCCTGTTCGATACAATCAATTAACGAACAGGACAAAATGCACTTTTCAAAAAAATTAAACATAAAACAAGGTTAACTCCTGTCTCTTATACACATCTAGATGTGTATAAGAGACAGATTCATGAATATCCTGTTCGATACAATCAATTAACGAACAGGACAAAATGCACTTTTCAAAAAAATTAAACATAAAACAAGGTTAACTCCTGTCTCTTATACACATCTAGATGTGTATAAGAGACAGATTCATGAATATCCTGTTCGATACAATCAATTAACGAACAGGACAAAATGCACTTTTCAAAAAAATTAAACATAAAACAAGGTTAACTCCTGTCTCTTATACACATCTAGATGTGTATAAGAGACAGATTCATGAATATCCTGTTCGATACAATCAATTAACGAACAGGACAAAATGCACTTTTCAAAAAAATTAAACATAAAACAAGGTTAACTCCTGTCTCTTATACACATCTAGATGTGTATAAGAGACAGATTCATGAATATCCTGTTCGATACAATCAATTAACGAACAGGACAAAATGCACTTTTCAAAAAAATTAAACGTAAAACAAGGTTAACTCATCGACACCGTGCAGTCTTCTAGTAAAAGAACTGATCTTCAGAATGTTCCAAATTAGAATTGGATAGGTCGTTTACTTTTTTTGTAAACAATAAAACTAAACAAATGTCTACCATTCTAAATGTTTTTGAAGATAATTTAGTTAGGAAATAGGAAAATGAATATCCTGTTCGATACAATCAATTGACGAATAGGACAAAATGCACTTTTCAAAAAAATTAAACATAAAACAAGGTTAACTCATCGACACCGTGCAGTCTTCTAGTAAAGGAATTGATCTTTAGAATGTTCCAAATTAGAATTGGATAGGTCGTTTAGTTTTTTTGTAAACAATAAAACTAAACAAATGTCTACCATTCTAAATGTTTTTGAAGATAATTTAGTTAGGAAATAGGAAAATGAATATCCTGTTCGATACAATCAATTGACGAATAGGACAAAATGCACTTTTCAAAAAAATTAAACGTAAAACAAGGTTAACTCATCGACACCGTGCAGTCTTCTAGTAAAAGAACTGATCTTTAGAATGTTCCAAATTAGAATTGGATAGGTCGTTTAGTTTTCATATAAACAATAAAACTAAACAAATGTCTACCATTCATGGTACAGTCAAACCTGTTTTTCTGTGATATTTTTTCTGCGATCTTTTTTCTGCGGTTCCTATCTACCGCACGAAAACAGATTTGACTGTAGTTCTCGCCTACAACGATTCCTATCGGAGCCTCGATCGAGCCGGTTGAAATTCTCAATTTGTACATTCGTCCGTCTATGTACATTCCGATTTCCGTCGATAAAAATGCTGTACGAGTCGGCTACCTGGAGGGTACATGAGAGCCCGATGGTATTTGCACAACAACTCGTTGGTCTCCTCCGTGCTCAATTTCTTGCCGGTGGCTATTTCGATGACCTTCTGCACGGTATCGGCCGGTCGCAGGTTCATAGATTTGTACCAGGATCGGGAGCCTGACCCGGTGCAGACGCATACACCGGAAGATCGAACACTATGCGTCTCGCCGCCCACTTGGATGATTAATGATATCGGCCTCGCGGCCGAAAATTCTCCCATGAATACCTGAATTTTACGAGCCCGGTATCGGTTACTTTCCACCGGGTATATGCATTCGCACTTATGTTGATCAATGGTGAATAAATTATGACGGGCCAACGCGGAACGGATACTTCACCTCGTTTAGTGCCAGCCACGGCAGAACTCTCTCGCGGGGCTGCAGGGCGTCCGCTAGTTTCCTTTGGGTCGATCGTATCAGGGCTCTGCGATATTTATGCGATATGGTAATTAGATTCATCAGAAGTGCCTCCATTATTCGCGTCTTAATTTTCAATCGAGCGGCTAAATGATCTTTATCGATGTCGGAAAGTTGGGAACACGACTGGAGAAAATTTAAACGAATTCGAGATGTATGCACATTTGCCGATGATGGACGAATTCTGTAAAACTCATTTCGAAAATAAACCTACTCAGCTCTGGAAATAATTGACATATGTTGCTTTATAACGATGAAAAGACTGTATGTATACTGCTGAAGAAAATTATAGCATCGATTTTTGCATGAAAATTGGTCAAATTTGACTGACGATGATATCGCGAAAAATCATCATAGGATGATGACTCTTCTTTCAAATTAAAGATTGAAATCTCTACTTTAAGAAAATGTTCCTTGATTTTTAATTTTATCTACTCTCACTATTGTAACCATTTAAATATGACGGCATGTTTGTCGTACTTACAATTATCAAGTTCGTCGTATTGAAAATTGCCAAGTTTGACGAAATGAACGGACTTTATAAAAATTTTTTTCGAAGATGCCGTTTAGAGCCGAATGAAGTTTGATCCTTTCCCTTTAATTTAAAAAGAAGTAAACACAGCTGCGATTGTTTTTCGCAAAGTTACAGCATTTGAAGCAAACCCTGCCTTTTTGTTATGTACTGCCGGTTATACTATATTTAAAGGGTTACAGCTGCGAAGGCGCATCGAACTTAAAATCGAGAAACAGTATCCTAAAGTAGAGGTTTCAAGCTTTAATTTAAGAAAAATATCGTCACACGAAGACGATTTTTCGTGGAGTTATCGTCAATCAAAGTTCGTCAATTTTTATGCTAAATTGTTCTATGCTATTATTTCCTTGAGCAATGTGTTTAGACCTTTTACCATTTTTAATATAACTTATGCTTGGATTAATAAATCCATTGAGTTATTTTCTATAAAAAAAAAGCCTCTATAATTTCAGCAACTTTGGAACAACGAATGTGAAACCAATATTTTGACCGACTTGGTAGGCTCGGAGTTAATAATATTTCTAAAGATCACAGTTTTCTTGTAAATTATCACGTTTTCACGTTTTCTATTGTGAAGAATGGTAATAATACGAGTAGAATGTTGCGCCGCCACATTCGATTGGACGTTTAAATTGCTTTAGAAAGAAACGCATTTGTTCAGTTGCCTCGACGTCTCCAATTTTTCCGAAGAAATTCGACGATTCGAAAACGGAAAAGGCAGAGATTTGAAATGCCGAGCGTTTCATCGCGCACGGTTCACAGCATAAATATCGAATTAATAATTGTTTTAAAGTCGCGTAAAATATGATCAACGAATCCGAAGCACAAAAACACAGAGCCGAATCAACGGCGCGAGTAATCGATACCGTTTATTTCGAATTTCGTCGGCGGTGTGTTAACGAAACAATTTATTGGCATCGTTAACGAGATAAAATGTTATCCGGAAATGAAAAATCAACAGAAAGCGATCGTCGGAACGGCAACCCGCGGAGCCAATTATAACAGCGGCTAACCAGTTTTCGATTCTCATCGTTCGGCATTTTCAGCACAGAAATTATGATTTACCGTCGTGCGCTCGTTACGACGGTGTCGTGACGTTACGACTTCTTTATGCGCGACTCGTAACTGCGCGAACATTGTAATTTACAAGTTATAACTGACGAACTTGTAACGCCCCATAACTCGAAACTACTTGCCGTGGAGAGGGCACGCTCGTGAAACGAAGACACATCACGGTCTTTATGAAAACGTGGAACGGGCGATACGCGTTGCTTGTTTAAAACTCGGCGGGAACAAATTGCTGGCAGAAAGAACTCCGTTGAACGAGTCACACCGGCCAGACTATTCCCTATTAGAACTTCATTATATTCGAGAACCTAATTCCAGCAGCGAGCAACGCGGAGGGCTGCGAAATTTCCGGTTCTGCCAACTTTTAATGTATACAAATAACACGTCAGACTTTATCACAATGAAGTAGAGGATTCTTTGAACTAAGAATTGGAATGATCAATTTTATGATCTCTTTCATTTCAGGTATTCGAAATATCATCATCGGTAAGCAAGTGGGGAATAGTGTTTCATACATGGCCAATACTTCGCGCAAGAATATAATTCATTAATTCAACGATTCATGAAAATGTAAAATCTCACAAGCTTTTATGTACATCTCGAATGATCTTTTATTTATTTCTTGAATCAAAAGAAGTTGTTTCGTAACGCTTGTTACCTCGCAAATTGATCCGAGCTAACACGATTTGGTTCCCAATTTTCCCAAAAAAATGTTCTCATAATGTGTTGTAGCTTTTCCCTTAATATTACCTACTCTTTCCAAGTAGTAGAATCGAATTATGTACATTATGATAAGAAAAGTTCAAAATGACCTTGAAGTATCCATGAACAAGCAATATAGAAAAAAATTAATTACATCAGCCAAATTGGCTACATCATTCCATACCGTACAATCTTTTGTTCGAAAGATTTCTTCACGGAAGAAACGGTTTTCGAGTAATTTAGATGGCAGATCTTGGCCGTGCGTCCTGTATAAAAGGAATGCAAGGTCGGAAAGTCGTTGACAAGAATGACGTATCGAAATAGACTCCGTTGTCCGAAGAATTACCGGCGGCACAAAGGTGCAGCGAAGCCAGAATGCACAGGAATAACAGAGGGAACGCGAGCAACACCGGTCGTATTTCCGTAGCGAGCGACGGCCGCGTCGCGAAGCCGCGAGTAAAAATGCGCATATTGATTTCGAACAGGGGCGGAACAAGCTTAGATCGCGGAGGATAACTTTCCAATAATGCACCCACTCGACTCTCTTCTCTCCTTGGGCACGACTCTTCTCGTGTATATGAAAGGGCCGCGTGTAAAGTCCTTCCCCAAACATTACAGTCCGTATGCGACTCCGCATCAATAACGTGTAGTCCCCTGAACGGAGTTTCCCGAACACGCTCCCGATATCGGCGGTGTATTTCGTCGGCAGCGTAAAAACGTTAACCTCGCTCGAGACGCTCGGATTGATCCCGAACACCGGCTTTGTGTTGTCCCTAATCAATTTGGACGCGAGCAGGAACGTGCCGTCGCCGCCGATCGGGATCACCAGGTCCGCCCAATTCACGCATCTCGACGCTTCCGACATCCTGGAACAATCGGACTCGGACTGTCGTGTCTCCCACGCTGTTCTTAGGAACATAAGTCACGCAAGGAGCGGGGATGGCGACGCAAGCGCCGGGAGTCTCGCATAGCAGCGTGGCGCGTTTTCACCATACACACACGTGTGAACAATAAATTCTTCTTAGAATGCCGAACTACGTCGATGCTAAGGTTTGATAGAGTCGATCAAGCGTGTGATGACGAAGTCTCGGAAGACAACGCAAGGTGGTCTGTTTGTTTGTGAGTCAGCTAAGAAAAACGTGGAGTTACAAGGTACCTGACCGTCGAATTGTGATATCAAGCGAAAGATGCGTCACGCGACACAGCCCAACGAATTCTCGAAAGCATCGCAGAGTAGCTGTTGGTTGTGAGTCGTGTAAGAAAAACCGTGGAGCTACAAAGTACGTGATAAGTAGGTACCTGACCGTCGAATCGTAATATCAAGCGTGTGATGCGTCGCGCGACGCAGCCCACCGCATTCTTGAAAGCAACGCAGAGTAACTGTTGCTTGTGAGTTATGTAAGAAAAGCCGTGGAGATACAATGTACGTGATAACTATGTACCTGACCGTCGAATCGTAGTATCAAGCGTGTGATGCGTCACGCGACGCAGCCCACCGAATTCTCGAAAGCAACATAGAGTGGCTGTTGATTGTGAGTCATGTAAGGAAAACCGAGGAGCAACAAAGTATGTGATAACTAGGTACCTGCCCGTAGAATCGTAGTATCAAGCGTGCGATGCGTCATGCGACACAGCCCACCGAATTCTCGAAAGCAACGCAGAGTAGCTGTTGCTTGTGAGTCATGTAAGGAAAACCATGGAGCTACAAAGTACGTGATAAGTAGGTACCTGACCGTCGAATCGTAGTATCAAGCGTGTGATGAGTCACGCAACGCAGCCCACCGAATTCTCGAAAAACAACACAGAGTGGCTGTTGGTTGTGAGTCAGGTAAGAAAAATCGTGGAGCTACAAAGTACGTGATAAGTAGGTACCTGACCGTCGAATCGTAGTATCAAGCGTGTGATGAGTCACGCGACGCAGCCCACCGAATTCTCGAAAGCAACGCAAAGTAGCTGTTGCTTGTGAGTCATGTAAGGAAAACCGCTATAAAGTACGTGATAAGTAGGTACCTGACCGTCGAAAGTCAAAGTGGTCTGTTTGGGTCTGAGTCAGGTATGAAAAACCGCGGAGTTACGAAGTATGTGATAATTAGGTACGTGACCATCGAATCGTGATATGTGGCCTCCGAATTGCCTCCAAAATGTGGCAAAACATTGGAAATAAGAAAGTTAAGCCATCGTTTTTATTCTAGCATTACTATGTATTCATATTAATGTACACCGGCTGGCCGCTGCTTTTTTTCGCCGACTAGCCCGAGATTCTATAAAAACCAAGAATCGTGTCCGAGTATCTGACGATTGTCTTTTTCAATTCCGTGCTCCGGGCCTTCTAGGAAGAATTTACTGTGATTGGAACGTAACTTTACAATTTTAATTTGGTTAAGTGAAATCCTTTGATTGTATTAAATTATTGTGGCTGCTGGCGTGACAGTGAAACCGATTACCCTGGGTTGAACAATTGCTGTGCTCTTGCTTTGTTTTCGAGCACAATTAAGTTTGTACGTACCGAATGAGAGACATTAAATTATTTTATCCTTTTATTTGGTCTATTCTTGAATAAAAAATTTAATATATCTTAGCTGATAAATATAAAGTTAATTACGCTAAAAAACAAACCCATCTTACAGTAACCTCAGAAAATAACGATAGTTTCGCCCACTCTAGTCTCTCACGTTTGTAATGCCTGATGAATAGACTAGATTTTGAAGCAAGTAGCTGAAACAGAATGTGTCGAAACTATTCAGTTATTTTTCTCTTTCTTCTCTTTAAAATTCACAGTCTACCGATGAATGTTCCATGGAAGAGAATATTGCAATTCTAGCAACATGGCGACGCTTCTTCCAAGCAACGCGACAAGGGCGCGAACAAAAGAAAGGAAGCTTCCGTCAACGTTGGATTTCCGCGGTTTTACCTTTTACTAATGCGGAAAGAGATTTCGAGTTTCTTGAGAACAGTGGCTAGATTTTTCTCGCAAGCAATCTGCAACCGATGCTCGGTGAGAATCTCTTGCGGATCCTTTCCTTGTCCCTCCATCCTGGACAATATCTTGTCCTCGGTCAGATTTGGATGCCGATACTTTAAGAATTCTAGGGAGGACAGCTTGGAGACGCAGAGCACTCTTCGAGGCTTCATAGGTGCGAAATTGTTCGAGCACGCCGCGCCCGCACGGTAGTTTCATAACCAACGCGCGCACGCCTCTTCCGGTTCGATCCGATTTAGGTTACAATCGATATTATTCAATAAACTATTGTAAACGTAATGCGCAACGCAAACGTACCCCGGATTAATATTAATTAAACGAGGTAATTAGTTTAGCACTTATTACGGCGGCAAATATTGAATCGAGAGATGGTTTGTTCGCCATTGCCGTTCCAGTAAATATTCAATGCGCCGTTTATATCCGCGCTCGCCGTGCGACTCCTGAATTCGTTCCGATAAATTATTAATAAATTTGTTGCAGCGCCGCGCGAAATGTCAGCAAGTACGAACGCATTTGTCGATTGTAATCGTTTCATTGCTTGTAAAATGCAAACCGGCTCACGTTTATGCGCGCGGACGCTGACCCTTGCATAATAGGATTTACAAGTGCTATTAACTTGATTTACGACTTACGGCTAATAATAATATTTGTCAATAAACATCGCGCTCTACAAGATATATGTATAGAAATGTATTCCGGGTAATCATTTGCTTCGCTGGACCACTAAAGTACATCGATTACGATGCAGTTAACAGCGCGAAAAATTATCTCGTTTAATCCACTTCCTGATTTTGTTGCAGAAGGCAATTATCATTCGCTAATTTCAACATAATGATTCTACTAGATCGCGAATCCTTACCATTGGATTGTAGCAGAAGTAGTTTCGGTTTTTCAAATAGATAGCTTACAAACGTACCGAAATTACTTTTGCAACGACTCAATATTAATTCGCAATCTTCGATCGATGGAGACGATCTACTCTATCGGAGCATTGCAAAGTTATAAAATCCACTCTTTACTCAACTTTCGTAGCAATAGTATTTGTTATTTTTAATTTATTATATAATAATAGAACATTTTAGATATATCATCAAATCCTCCCTTTCATTTAGTAACTCTTAGACCATGATCAATAATTCTATCTTTTAATATTATAAGTTTACTATTAAGAACAATCGTTTAATTTTATTCTTCTAATACGTATATATTATTATTATCTTTTTTAAATCTTATATCAATGATGACGAGATACATCTCGAATTACAATTCAAGAAAGCACTACGCTCTTAGTGCAATAAAGGAATTAAGTGCAATTAAGCTTAATAAAATTTCGAATAATTCTATTCATCGCATCAAAACTGTTCTCTTTTATTTCATTTTCTTTTTAGCTTAATGTGAAATAATTCTGCGAATATTAAATCTATTTCGAGAACTTCGCGTTTTCCAAGCAGAGTCTCGAACTTTCTCCGAATCCCACGCCTTAGAATGTTTTCACGCACACGTTCCCTGGATCCTGCGTCAAAGTTTTCCGCCAACGAGGCTGACGACACCTTGCAGGACTACTTATTAACTCCACAAGACTCCCGTGCGTTGCTTCGAATGGGGTTTAAAAGTGGCAACGAAATTGACCGCTTGCACGGGTCCGGAGATCCGTTCCGTATCGCGGAACTTGCAAATCGCATCGTGTCTCCGCAGATCCGCAACACCGAACGCGTAGCCTCAACTTCCGGGCGGAGTATTTGGCCACCGTACTTGGACGCCACGCGGGAGAACCTGTTCTTCAGGATTACCTCACGTGTCCTAAGTGATACTCGGCACTCAGGACGTCGGCGGGGTTCCGAGTCTTGTACATCGACTGTCGGCGAACTTCGGGACAAACTTCCGCGAAATTTTCGTCTCAATGGACACTGACCATTAAAGCCACTTACGGTACCAGGATCTTCCCTTAACCTTGCCCGTCCAGCCACGTTCCCCTCGGCCACGAAATATTCTCGAGCACCATACACCAGATTTCTGCGCAATCATCGACGAAATAGCAAGTCGTAGACTGCCAGCGTTCCTGTAACTGCCGCTTTAATTATTTTTAATTATTTTTAATTGTTTTTAATACATTTTCAATTAATTAGAAATTAACGCATAATATTTATTATATGAAAAGAATTTTCTTTAACCGTTTGAGTCCCAGGGATTATTCAGAAAACACGGNGCGTCAAAGTTTTCCGCCAACGAGGCTGACGACACCTTGCAGGACTACTTATTAACTCCACAAGACTCCCGTGCGTTGCTTCGAATGGGGTTTAAAAGTGGCAACGAAATTGACCGCTTGCACGGGTCCGGAGATCCGTTCCGTATCGCGGAACTTGCAAATCGCATCGTGTCTCCGCAGATCCGCAACACCGAACGCGTAGCCTCAACTTCCGGGCGGAGTATTTGGCCACCGTACTTGGACGCCACGCGGGAGAACCTGTTCTTCAGGATTACCTCACGTGTCCTAAGTGATACTCGGCACTCAGGACGTCGGCGGGGTTCCGAGTCTTGTACATCGACTGTCGGCGAACTTCGGGACAAACTTCCGCGAAATTTTCGTCTCAATGGACACTGACCATTAAAGCCACTTACGGTACCAGGATCTTCCCTTAACCTTGCCCGTCCAGCCACGTTCCCCTCGGCCACGAAATATTCTCGAGCACCATACACCAGATTTCTGCGCAATCATCGACGAAATAGCAAGTCGTAGACTGCCAGCGTTCCTGTAACTGCCGCTTTAATTATTTTTAATTATTTTTAATTGTTTTTAATACATTTTCAATTAATTAGAAATTAACGCATAATATTTATTATATGAAAAGAATTTTCTTTAACCGTTTGAGTCCCAGGGATTATTCAGAAAACACGGTCGAAAAATGCCGAACAGCGTGATAGCGCTTGTCTTAATTAATTGCGCAGGGAACCAAGCGGCGCGACAGCGCTGATCAAGATTGACAAACAAAACAAAAAGAAAAAAAGAATGAAAAAAGCAGCTATGCGATGTACGCGCGTCGCTAAAATTTGATCGCGAAACAAGATCTGAGCAGCGCGATCGCGCTGCTTGGGACTCAAACGGTTAATAAAAGAAACCTTAAGGATTATCGAGCTGCAAATAGACATAATTCTTAAGTTAAACAACTTCTGAAATGATTAACTAACTTTGCTAACTGATAATTAACTTTCTGATGAAAATGGTCTCTGGCACAATTGAGGAAACATCGTAGATTTTATGCATTTACGATTGAAACGAATGGGTGCAGCTTGCGACGGTAAACGAACATTCGACAATGGAATTTTGTGTCTTTTCTCGATTACGAAGTTTGGTCAGCTGTAACGAAGCACTGGTACCATATTCGAACGGGTTTTGTATCGACAGCGACGAACTCTGTGTATTCTTTTCGTCGAACTTCATCGATACTCGGAGCAATCTCAATTTTTCTTCGTTTGCAAAAAGGAGCTGGTTCGTTCGATGGAATTACGGTGCTCCGAGGAACAGCACATACTTCGACAGCGCGCTGTGCAGTTTTTGGGTTTCCTGCAGCACCGAGAAACAGGCGAACTTCGCGGGCGAACTTCGCGGAAGTTTTCGTCCCGAGGATAGCTGACCGCGGAAGCCATTTACGGTACCGGAATGTTCTCTTAAGACCCGTTGTCACAAAATATCCAAGTGTTTTATATTTCTCCGAGCATGGTCTACAGCCTCGGCGAACTTCTTCGGGATTTTCGCTGGCCTGGTCTTAGGTAACCGTTACCGGGCGAACTTCGTACTCCGAGTATAAAAAAAAATATCGGTTTCGGTTTCGCCGGGAACGCCGGCGCAATTTGCGACGGTGAGGAGAACAGTGCATCACGGAATAAGAATTTCCCCGAGTGTTTTGCTTTCGGAAAAACGTGCTCTAAATTAAAAATGCAATTTTCTGAATTAAACGCGTCCGCGCGAAGCCGGGGCGCATTCCGGTTGCTTTTCTTCGCGTTCACAGAAATTTCAACAATTTGCCGAGCGCCGCGTCGCGCCGCGTCGACCGTGTGCACGCTGGCCGTGCCGGTGCTGTTTTAAAATGTCTTGTTAAAGCCGGTAATAAGGTAGGGACGATAATTGTATTTCCTCGAGAATTTTTATTATATACCGGCTGATATGACAACGGGCCTCCGGACAGTAATTACACGTCGCACGCAGATTTCAGCTGGAAAAGGACGCTCGGAGCCGAGCTTCTGGGTGGCCGACGACGAACTTCGCAACAAACTTGCACGCTCTTTTCCTAGCCCGGTGGTACCTGCTGACCACCCGGACCACTTATGACACCGTGACATCCCGCGCTGCAAGAAATTCGTTTAACTGAACTTTTCAACCGGCGGGGTCCAGAAGTGAAATTCATTGTCGCGCAAAAAAAAGCACAAAAAACCGTCGCGCGCAGCAAAGTACTACATATTTTACGAAAAAACGTGACTCGGCGTTCGTATTGTTCTCTCTCTCGCATACTTTATTATGTTTGGCTGCTACATTTTCATCGTGCTTCTGCAACCGATCCTTTGACGCAACGCCGGTGTTAACGTTCGAAACACTAATTATATCTTTTTGCTGCTACTTTTATAATGCTGTTTTTTTTCTCTTTTTAAGGACAGTATCACGTTGCTTTTACGTAAACAGTTTCAATCGCAATTCTTTTTGACGCGTTTACATTATTGCATTCTATGCAATAATGATACAAAATCTGGGATATAAAACATCGTCTTAAATTGTAGAATTCTTGAACGTATTAATTTTGAGATACGCGTGCAGAGCATAGTTACTTTCTTTCCGAATAACTATCGATCCAAGAACGTTCCCATACGATTGTATCCTTTCCTATATATATACTTTTTTAATATATACTTTTCTAAATAACGCGCACATAAGTGATAAAATAAGAATCTGTTTGAAATTGAATAAAGCCTACCTGGTTTGCCTAATCGCACCAATTCAATTGATTCTGCGAAACGAACAAATAGCCCAATCTGTGACCCCCAACAACCCAACGGTCTCCTTTCTCTTAATACCACGAGTTGTAAGAATAATGATAAGAGGGACTGCAATAATTCATCGAGCTCCTGGGGGTGCATCGCGGCGTACACGTATCCCGGTAGGCTTGACCAGAGGGGCACCAGCTCCCTTGATAACGATTGCACGCGGTCATCGACTGATTCTTCGCATTGTTTATCCTGTAGAGCTGATCGCAGGAAACCGGCACTCGGGGCCAGCCGAAGGTCGAGCTGCTCTTCGAGGAGCAGTAAACCGTCGGGCAGAGCTGCTCGGCTCTGGAGTCGTCGTCGCAGAAACAATTCGCCGAAGTGACGCAGCAAGCAATGTACGACGAACACTGCGTCTCGCAGGATTCTCTGTACTTCGGCTGGTTGGAAGGCGAACGACTTGACCTTACGCAGCTGCGGATCTCGGTTTCCTCGAGTCTGCTGGGACTGAGACTCGTGATCCAAGTCCCGGTTATCGCTCGACGACTCCTTCGTCTTTTCCGCGGTTCCCTCTCAAAGATAGTCTCAGTCTCTATCCCCTTCTCCGAGGTGTCTTTTTGCTCCGCCTTAAACGTAGCTCCGTCGACAGTTGGCCGATCCACGGGTTCGTCGACAACTGGCTGATTCGCGGGTTCTTCGACAACTGGCTGATTCTCAGGTTCTTCGATAGCTGGCTGGTTCGCAGGTACCTCGATGTCCGATTGGTCAACAGCTTCCTCGACGTCCGATTGGTCAACGGCTTCGTCCATAACCGACTGGTCCGCAGCTTCGTCGGTAATTTGCTGGTCCGTAGCTTCCTCGTCAGTCTCCTGACCCGCAACTTGCTCGCTGATTGCCTGATCCGCAGCTTCCTCGCTGATCGTCCGATCCGCAGCTTCCTCGACAACTGACTCGTCCACGTCTTCCAAAACTACAGCGTCACCTCCGTCCGTGCCCTCATGTGCGTCTGCCGTAGGTTCTTTCGCGTCTTCAGCTTCTACGTCCATCTCGGTGGTGTATTCCTCGTCCGTGCTGAATCCGTTTTGCTCGTCGGCCTCCCGCTCGGACCAGTCGTCCTCCTGCCTCGTTACGCAGCTCGTCGTGGACGCTGCGTATTCCACGCTCCGCATGGTTTCGCAAGACACGCGAGCCGGAATACTCGGCTCGCTGGCTCTCGTCGAAGCGTCTTCTTCCTCCTGGATCGGGGACAAGTTGATCGAAGGGACGGACGCCGGTCTTTGGCACGATTTCGCTGCGGCGACCTCCGCGGTGCTCGAGCACACGGATTCCTTGTCCGCTCGAGTTATCGCCACGGTCTTCGCGGTGCTGACCCTGACCTTGTCGGCCTTGTCTACTTGGAAGTACCGGCTTATGAACAGATTCGGACAGTCCGGGTGGCACATCGGCCGCTTCTGCTCCACGTGATCTTTCTTCGCCTCGGTCAAAAGCCTCGATCCCTCGTCCCAGGAGTCCTTCTGTGTCTCCTGGATCTCCGAAACCGGTGCTTCCACCGGTGGCTCTTCTTCTTTCTTCTCATCCTCCGAGACCGGAGGAGCGGGTTCCGCCGGAGCCGCGTTCTCATTGCAGCCGTCGCACTCTGTCGTCACGTTTTTGCTTCTGGATGCATAAAGGATCATGCAGTTGCCGTCGTAACACTCGAACGCCCCAGGCAGGTCCGTTTCCGAATAGATTTCCGTGTTTATGTGGATGTTGTCGGTCTCGACGATCGCTTCGGTCCCCGCCTCCCTCGTCTCGACTGCTTTCGACGAGCTTTTTATGTTCTTCAGGAACACGGACGCGCGGTGGAAGATCGACGTTTTCCCGGTCATTGTGGCCCGCGGTAATTCAATCTGTTGATTCTATGATATAGTAATCGGTGCGTTGCGTCAAGGTCGCCGCTATCGGATTCCGTGTTGCATTTTCTTCGACGCTTGTTAGGTAACCATCCTTCTGTGCTTTCGAAAGGGTTTGGAGGACAGCGTGGCTTTAAAGTAATTCATTGCGACGGATTGAATTGCGGCTTGAATTTGAAATTCATGACGTCCGAAGGTTATGGGGAAATTGCATCGCGGCCGCGGAGAGAAGTTGCAGCGATCGAAATGCAGCAACTCGTGTGATTCTCGATCGTGTCTTAAAAAATGAAGGATCTGCTCCGACTTCGAGCGAATGTTTCGCGCGAAATCATTCGAAACGATTCGATTCGAAATGATTCAAAACACCTTACCGTTCCAGTCATTTCAATGGTTTCTCCTTGCCGCAATTTCCGCTACAATATCCATCTGGAAAAGCAAATCCAATATGAACACGAATGAAATACGATATTGATACGTATGAAATGATATATTAATACGAATGAAATGCAATATTAATAAAAATGGATTACAGCGTTAATGAAAATCGAATATACTATTAATAAAAGTGAGATGCGGTATTGATAAAAATCGAATAGAATATTCATACAAATGGATTCAATACAGTACCCTTCAATACAGTACCTTCGATACAGTATTGATACAAATGGAATACAATCGGATTCGCTAATTTGAAAATTGTTTCCTATTACGGCAACTATGAAAAGGGTGAAATTCGATACGTATCTCGCGCCATTTACGCTAGAACTACCGAACCCTAAACCTGACTAATGTGTATTGTTTTATAACAATGCCAAGACTGGATTTATTTAAACTTCGTGTGATTTATATTATAATATATACTTCAATAAAGAAATTTTTTCTTATGAAAATTTCTAACAAAAGAATTTTTATAGTATCAGGAACTGTGAACAAAAAATTAGAAAACAGTCATTTTGACTGGTTTGTTAGTTCTTGTGTCAACGAATTCGTCAAGTGACAGATCAAAATGGCCGTTGTTACGAAACTTACAGGCAGTATTAGCGTTTTTTAATGCCAAGACTGGATTTATTTAAACTTCGTGTGATTTATATTATAACATATACTTCAATAAAGAAGTTCGTATGAAAATTTCTAACAAAAGCATTTTTATAGTATCAGGAACTGTGAACAAAAAATTAGAAAATAGTAATTTTGTCTGGTTTGTTAGTTCTTGCGTCAACGAATTCGTCAAGTGACGGACCAAAACGGCCATTGTCACGAAACTTACAGGTACCATTGGCGTTTCTCGTGCTCCATTCCGATCTACCTCGCCGATTTTGGTCCTCCTTTGCGATACTGTTAGGTTTAACGCACTGAGATTGATCTATTATTTCTTTCGTCCTACCGGGCTTCGAGGTCGTCGGCTTGACGGTGATCGGACGTTTCGCTCTCTTCGGCGCACTTTTGGCCGCCGGGGCGCTACGGGTCTGCGTATGCTTTGTCTTATCGTCGATCTCTATCACCTACCGAATTTCAATTTGCCAATTAATTCTCGTCGACAATCGCGTGGACGATTATACGAGCCATTTTCGGCTCGTTAATAACATCGACAATCGGCAACTATAAAAACGAGCCGCGGGACTCGAATAATATCGAATGTCTCCTCCTCCCAAATTGTCTACTTTCGTTTATAAGCTGCGAGACAATTTGAGAGAATTTACTGTACCAATCGGTGCACACCTCAGTGCCGTTCGAATCGGTCGTGAACGAGTTCGTGTCTCCGTCTCGAGCCGTTTGCAGTTTTATGCTCATCAGTATCCTCTTCCTCGTGTTCCCGATTTGGAACTCGGACAGGATCTTCGTCAGGATCGTGCTGGAGGTCTGCATGTTTATGCTCGCGTAGCTGCGACCCTCTTTCGTCTCTTTGCTGATGGCCATTTTCGACTTGCTGACAGCTGGCCCGCCGTCTGCTATGCCAACAGCGTCGACCAACGTCACTTTCGTAGTCTCGTCCGACACATCCACGGTATCGGTCGCAGACACTTCTGTGGCATCGGCCTCTGGTACCAGTGTAGCGTCATCCGAGACTACTAGAGCCTCGATCGCTGGAGCCTCTGCAGAGTCGTCGGGTACTTCCACCGCCGTTAATTCCGCAGAATCATCCGATAGCTCCACCGTTGCCTCCCCGGGTTTCTCCGTCGTTGTTCCCTCGGTGTCAACCATCGTTATCTCCTCGGTATCGTCCGTTACTTCCACAGTGGCAATCTCCGATTCGTCCGTCACGTCGACGATAGTCTCGTCCATCTGGACTTCCTCGTCTTCCTGAGAAACGACATCGATCGTTTCGTCCACACCTTCCGCGGGAACTGTTATAACCTCGGCTTCGGCTGGCTCCGTGCCCGGCAGATCGGATATATCGTGTACGGTGTCGCTTCCCTTGGATCCTTTCGTGGAGACATCCCGGAACGTGTGCTCCTCGGGAGCCTCTTCCGCGGTCACCTCCGGTCCAGCGCTACAGGCGCAAGAGTCTGCGACCCGAACAGGTACCTCCTTGCCGCGAGGCGCGCATCTCACTTCGGTCTGCGTAATTATCTCGCACTGGATCTGCGAATCGGTCGTCGTTGACTTCGGAGAGGGCGCGGCGGGATCTTCGGGCACCGGTGTCTTCAACGTCCTGGGAGTTGCGGATGCCAAGGCTCTGGCAGGTTGTTGTTTCGTCGGCGATCTTCCGGCCTGGCCGTTCGCGGCAGTTTTGTCAAGCTGCGCCACTTGCCTCACTCGTCTCTGGTAGGCGATGCTTTTCTGCGTGATCGACGAAGGCTCGATCACGGAGTGCGTGACGCTCGTTTGAATGGTCGAGTCTATGGTGGTGAGAACCGGCTGGCCTTGGCGACCTCTGCCCCGGTCCGAATCTGGCGGCGTTGAGCGTTGCGCGTTGCCCGGGTTTCTGGAACTGCTCGATCCGCGATACGACGACGAATTCGAGCTCATGTTTCTAGTCGAGATCGATGTGTTCCTTTTCCGCGTGGTGTCGGAACTGTCGCTGCCTCCTCTCTCGCGAATTCCAAAATCGGCGCGGCGCTGCTGTTCGTAATTGCAATGGTCATCTGTAAACGAAAACTATCGGTTTCCCAACATTACGCCGCCTTTGCGGGACAGAAGACAGCCGATTTACAGAGGCTCGATCTCACGGAGTTTAATCAAAGAGGCTATTGGTACCGATGTTGCCAGGGAATCGATGGCGCGACGGGAATCTATTTGCTCGATTTTTCTGCTTCGGATTGCCTCTCTCTCTCTCTCTGCCGCACAATGCGGCAATGATGACATTGTCAACAAAAAACGAAAAGCCGAAAATAATTGAGATTCGCTTAAAAATAGTTGATACTCCCTTATTTCCTATATACAGTAATTGTTGCGTCCAGAGACAAGGGCCATAAAAAGGTCCCACCATTGGGGAAACCCTCTCAGGCCCCAACAAGGGTCAAGGCAGACACCCCCCTCCAAGGGGTGATTCGTGCCTTGACCAATAACAAACAATCTACCTCCATCCACGGGTGCTCTTCCACGATTTTCCAGCGTTGGAAGAGCATTCTTCCACCAGCGCTCGCAGAGAGTACAACACAAAAAATAAAGTTCTCTAAGACTACTAGAGACCCTTCCACGGCATTAATTTGCCGTAGGAAGCGCGAATCGAGCGTACAATAGTTCGGTCGCGCATGTACGTTAGGCGACTAACCGAACGTACGGACAAAACAGTAATGTCTCCCTAACTGACGCTCGGATTGTCCACAAAAATGGACAGTTTGGGAAGAGGAGATACGATTATACGAGTCTCGCGGCTCATTTTTATAATTGTTGACAATTCGTAACTATAAAAACGAACCGAAAGACACGAATAATCGTATCTTCCCTTCCCAAATCGACCATTTCTATGGACAATTAGAGAGACATTACTGTAACATGTACTTTTGGAAACATCTGATATTGTACGAAAATATTTGGATTTTATTTTTTTGTCCCGCGAGGCCGCGCCGCATTATGCGATACTTCCTCGCCACTTCGGTGTCCTTCTATCCGAGACTCTCCAGTGGGAATGGCGAGAAAGGAGGTCTTCGACGATTGCGCGGCGGTACGACGACCAGGGAGCCCCACGCGCCATCAATTCCCCGGCAACACTGATTGGTACCTACATTTTTGACACTGCGGCACTCCGGCCGTGTTCGGGCCCTCGTTGTAGGAGCAACAGGCGTTCTGGCAACAATGCGCATTGCAATCCTTTTCCGTCCTACGTACGTTTTCGATCAAGCGGTTCGATGGATCGCTGTCGCGATCGCGTCTCCGCTCGCAAGCTCCGCTTCCGCAGCTTCTCTTCGCGGATTTTTTCAGAAGTTTCCCTTTGGAAGTTTGCTTCACCAATTGATTAATACTCGCCGCTGCAGTTTTCAGGAAATTCTTGCAGGAATCCTGCAGCCACAACTTTCTTCTCCGAATTTCGTCCCACATCGATNTGCGTCCAGAGACAAGGGCCATAAAAAGGTCCCACCATTGGGGAAACCCTCTCAGGCCCCAACAAGGGTCAAGGCAGACACCCCCCTCCAAGGGGTGATTCGTGCCTTGACCAATAATAAACAATCTACCTCCATCCACGGGTGCTCTTCCACGACTTTCCAGCGTTGGAAGAGCATTCTTCCACCAGCGCTCGCAGAGAGTACAACACAAAAAATAAAGTTCTCTAAGACTACTAGAGACCCTTCCACGGCATTAATTTGCCGTAGGAAGCGCGAATCGAGCGTACAATAGTTCGGTCGCGCATGTACGTTAGGCGACTAACCGAACGTACGGACAAAACAGTAATGTCTCCCTAACTGACGCTCGGATTGTCCACAAAAATGGACAGTTTGGGAAGAGGAGATACGATTATACGAGTCTCGCGGCTCATTTTTATAATTGTTGACAATTCGTAACTATAAAAACGAACCGAAAGACACGAATAATCGTATCTTCCCTTCCCAAATCGACCANCTCGGATTGTCCACAAAAATGGACAGTTTGGGAAGAGGAGATACGATTATACGAGTCTCGCGGCTCATTTTTATAATTGTTGACAATTCGTAACTATAAAAACGAACCGAAAGACACGAATAATCGTATCTTCCCTTCCCAAATCGACCATTTCTATGGACAATTAGAGAGACATTACTGTAACATGTACTTTTGGAAACATCTGATATTGTACGAAAATATTTGGATTTTATTTTTTTGTCCCGCGAGGCCGCGCCGCATTATGCGATACTTCCTCGCCACTTCGGTGTCCTTCTATCCGAGACTCTCCAGTGGGAATGGCGAGAAAGGAGGTCTTCGACGATTGCGCGGCGGTACGACGACCAGGGAGCCCCACGCGCCATCAATTCCCCGGCAACACTGATTGGTACCTACATTTTTGACACTGCGGCACTCCGGCCGTGTTCGGGCCCTCGTTGTAGGAGCAACAGGCGTTCTGGCAACAATGCGCATTGCAATCCTTTTCCGTCCTACGTACGTTTTCGATCAAGCGGTTCGATGGATCGCTGTCGCGATCGCGTCTCCGCTCGCAAGCTCCGCTTCCGCAGCTTCTCTTCGCGGATTTTTTCAGAAGTTTCCCTTTGGAAGTTTGCTTCACCAATTGATTAATACTCGCCGCTGCAGTTTTCAGGAAATTCTTGCAGGAATCCTGCAGCCACAACTTTCTTCTCCGAATTTCGTCCCACATCGATCGCTCGTGCGTTTCGCACTGCTGCCAGCAGTCTGTTTTCGTCGTGTCGAAGCACACGGCGCTCGACCTGCGAAACATTTTATTCGCCTGTCACAAGCCGCACTCAACACTCGGCTCGGGTTTCCTTAGTGTTTCTAACTGTGTTGCAATTAATCTAGATCACGAGTATAACAGTTTATGGGAAATTTTCAAGTCTCACGGATACCCTAGAATAAACCGGGTCGGTATGTAATTTAATACGTCTCGATTAATTCGTCCTGCTGTTGCACCTAATTTCGATCTATGCTCGTTCTAGACCAGATTTAACACTCTGAAAGGCAATTGTTACGTTAATCTATACAGCTTAAAAAGAATTATAACAGAGAAATGTTTTAGGTAAAATTTGGTAAACTTTGACCTTTTGACCTTTGACTGACAAAAATGCAAGGATTACTTTAAAATGCGGTAACATTGCGAAAAAAAATCGCAGCCACGTTTCTTTTCTTTTAAATTAAAGGGGAAGGATCCAACTTCGTTACGTTGCAAGCGGCATTTCCTCAAAAAATTTTACAAAGTCCGTGCGTTTCGGCGATCTTCGCAATGTTCAATATGACGAACTTGGCAATTGTAAGTATGATATGCCGTTATATTTAAATGGTTACAGTGGTGAGAATGCATAAAATTAAAAATCAAGAAACACTGTCTTAATGTAGAAATTTCAGGCTTTAATTCAAGAAAAAAGTGATCATTCTATGACGATTTTTCGCAAAGTTATCGCCAGTCGAAGTTGGCCAGTTTGTATTAAAAATTTTTCAGTCTTATAATTTTTGGACTTGTCTATCATATCGCTCTAATTTTATTAGGATTCGTAAAACGTAAGGATATTTAGAAAGCAATTGGTGCTGTAAGTCTTAGCTTTCCAATTTTAATTTCAGTGAATGGAACACATTGATTTTGTGAAATTTTTAAGATGGTTGACGTGGCAGACGAAAGTGTTAAGGGCATTTATCGCGTGCCTACATTTATTTAAGTCGGCGTTAAACATTTAATTCTCACTTGTGGCTGAACATCTGATGAACGCTGCAATTGGACACCGTTTGCGCGGACTTCCTCGAGGCCTTCTTCTTGTCTCTGGCTCTCTCGATCCCATCGCAATCTTTCTCCGGACACTCGATCTTGTCCGAATAGCTGCGGCCGATAACGCCAGGATGAGTTTTACAATTCGGACTGCAATGTTTCTCGTACGCGTCGGACCGTTTCTTCGACTTGCTTCTCTTCAACAAGTCCGACTTCTTCCTCTTGACCGGGTCGCTTTCTCTTCGCGCCAGGCCGTGTCCGAGCGATTCCGACGAATGATTGCACAAATGAAATACCTGTCCCGATCTCAGGCAACGCACGTCGGCAACGCTGTTGCCGATCTCGACGAACATGCTAGCCTTCGACGGACTGCACTTTCTCGAGCAGAACGAGCAGCACGAGTTACGGGACTTAGTGAAGTGCACGCGTTGGAGACAATGCTTGCTGGACACGCAGAGATCGCATTTCGGCTCCTTCGGCGAACAACATTTTACAGGTTCGGTGCAATTCGCGCACACTCGGTGAGCACGCCGCACCGAATGCACGCTGACGTTCGAGGAGCACGGTTTCGGTTCGGGGGAGCAACAACAGTCCTCGAAGTAAACGTTCGAGGGGTCGAAATCCAAGTTATGGCAGTTCTGGAGCTGCTCGCAGTCAGATCCTGACAGCTCCATGACGAACGTGTCGCAGTTGCCGCAACAGTTCTCGAAGGTGCAACGATGATCGTGCGGCTCCTTCCTCTTTCTAAATTCGATTAGAACCGATGTAATCTCACGGTTCGCAGAAGATCCAGAGATCCAATTACTGTACCCTGTTAGCAGCCTTTAGCAGTGCTTGTTATTAAACACGGCTTTAGCAATTTAAGTAACATCTCTTAACCCTTTGACTGCGACGTATTCTCGGATAGAATCTTGAATGCAAACGAAGCGAAATAGACAAATCAATCGCTGTTGTATATCATTACGAAGATAATCACAAAGAACGAAATTCGATACTGATAATGAATAATAAGTTCCATTTGATAAACACAATGTTTAACACAAAGATAAGTTGGTGCAACAGCGAAGGTTTTGCAATCTAGAAGGACGTATATCTGCGTCTTCCGTACATATCGGTAGACTTGTGAGGTCATATACAAGGTGTCCCAAAAATGTCTCGCAATCCGGAAATGATGGATTCCTGAGGCTGTTCGAAGCAACTTTTTCCTTAGCGAAAATGCAATCCGCGGCTTTGTTTACGAGTTATCAAGGAAAAACAGTGACCAATGAAAGAGATCAGCTGGCGCGAGATGGCCGAGTCAGTGAGCGGAACTGGGCTTCGTGCGCTCATTGCTGTCTCGCGTCAGCCGAGCTCGCCTCTTATTGGTCAGTGTTTTTCGTTAATAACTCGTTAACAAAGTCACGTATAGCATTTTCGTTAAGGAAAAAGTTACTTCGAATGACCTCATGAACCTCCCATTTTCGAATTACGAGACATTTTTGCGACACCCTGTATTTACGCCTTTCATAGTCAAAGGGTTAAGAACCTAAAGATCGATTTCAAAGTTTCTTTTGTCGATAGAAACTTTCCCACGACACAATTATCAAATCTTCTCTGAATATTAGGAGAAAGAAAAAGAAGCATAGAATAACATTATGATATTTTAAGAACTTCCGTCTTCTACATATGTAATTTCGACAAATAAATAACTACTTCAATTTAAATAAAGAAATTTCATATGCCTTGTTCGATAAATATAAAATTATGCTTGAAAATAAACGAGACTATAAACGAGAATAAACAGTAATTGGCAAGGCACAGTAACTGGCACCAATACCCTATTTCGTGAAAAAATAGGGCGCACCTATCTTTCGTGCACTTCTTTTGCCCAGGAATCGAGCGTTTGCAGCGGCTCTTGCGCCACATCTGATTGATACTGAAATAAAATGAACTTCGTTAAATTGATCGAAGACGCACGTTCCAGATACAAAGAATATCGCTTCGGTCGAGGAATATTTGTTTTACATTTTGCGTCGAATCTATAAAAACATTTAAGCTGTCTACCGTTTTAACCGAACCAAAAGTCCGTGATTCCATATCATCGACGGCATATACTTTAACACGTTGACTGCCACGCGTGTCTACAACAAAATCTCCTACAGGCCACCCGTGCCGCTATAGGAAGCGTGCGCTGTTGATTCATGTCTGTTTCTGTTCCTGCATGAACAGTCGGAATCTTTGCCCAGTACCGAGTGGTATAACTTAAAATCTCAGCCCTTATTTTTTTCCAAATAATGAAAAGAAAAATGAGAAAGTCAGTTCATAGTGAGTCATATAGCAGTGAAAAAAGACCTGTTGCGATATTCACACAAATTCGGATAGCAGCGATGGGGAAGAGATCGGATTGCCCAGAAGGAGAAGCATAAATTGAATTACATCGTCAGATTCTGACTCGGATACTGATAAATGCAGTCTTAGTGATAATGAATGTTGTGAAGATACTATCGACGAGATTTTACGAGAATTGGTCATGGAAGAAGAAAGAAACGTTGATGATACCGATGAAGCTACAGTTCAAATAAAAGCTCAAATAAAAGATATGAAATGGACCGATCAGAGGCACGAGCAAATCTGAAAAAACCAACAACATTTTGTCCAAGCTGTCCTGATCAACCTCAACTTTGCAGAGAATGTTTTCATTTTATACACTGCGAATAATTTTCTTAATAAACCGTTTTTATAAGAATTCAATAGTTTCATTACCTCCTGTAGCATATTTGTCCAAATATTTTCAGAAATCCTTCGTAAGTAGTCAAATCGGCGTCACCCGAATTACGAGTGATAAAACAGAAATCGATCCTTCGAAGGTTCTAAACCAGAACACCCCCTTAATGGAGTATCGGCGAGTAAGCTATCAAGAAAGGGAATACCGTGGCAACCGTGTTACGTTTCTATCTTCGACAGAAACCAGCGGTGCGCTTACGAACGATAGCGTATTTACCCTGGCGATCATTTCGGAGAGTTATTCACCTGTCGTAGCACCGTTTGAAGGAAACGTTCTGCTTCGGGTCCTCGGATTTCTTCTCGCATGCGGCGAGCTGGGGACTCAGGCTGACGGTGACTCCGGTTTTGCAATTCGCGCAGACGTTATTACCGCGATTCAGTTCGAAGAGGGCCGCGCTCTCGTCAACGAGGCTGTCGCAGCACGGATCGCAGCCGTCGGGCCCCCAAACATTCTCGTCATTGAAATTCAGCGCGGTGCCGTCGCAGGGGTTGCCTCCTCCCCTTTCGTGTTCACGGATTTCCGCGTAATTTCCACTTTGCCGGCCCGGCTTCGGATGTCCCGGGTCGCGCGAGCTCGACGACGAGTCGCTGCTCGACATCCTCGAGGCGTTCGCCTCGTCGCGGCAGCACATTTTTCGAAATCCGCAGGCCGCCGCGCCGCTGGACCACATTGCGTCCGTCTGTCCACATTGGCCGGCGCAAACGTTCCCGTTCAAATCCATCGATCGGCTACTGCGTCGAGCAAATATGCGCGGTTTATCTCCGGCGAGTGTGCGATCGCCGAACGCCTGGAAGATCATAGTGCATTACCTGGTATTATAGAGCGTGGCAAAGGTACGGCGGGAATGGCCAATGGTCTCTGAAATAAATTAATTAAGCACGCCCGAGAACGCAGCCGCCACCTGCTTGAATCAGTTAAGCCTTCTATGTACGGATGAAGGTGTTCGCTCTGGTCGTGTGGGGAATTATGAAGAGCATAATCTGCAGATGATTTCGAGAGGACTGTCAGACACTGGTCGATAGCATTTTTCTTCCTACGTGCGCATTTAGCTTCGTTAGGATGTTACAAATATTTGGATAATATTTTTGCAGGTTTCGAAATACAGTAAATTTTCCCTAATTTTCCTTCAGCTTTTAAACAAAATTGGACAATTTGAAAAGAGGTGACACGATTATTCGAGCCTCGTGACTCATTTTTATAGTTTCCGATCGTCAACGATTATAAAAACGAGACGCAAGGCTCGAACAATCGTATCTTCTCTTCTCAAATTGTCGAAGTTTCGTTTACTAGCTGAAGGAAAATTAGAGAGAATTTGCTGTACATTTTAGTGATTCTTGGTTAATCGGTATTCGAACAGTCGCGTCGAATTCGACAGAAAGTAATCTGATTAATGATTAATAACTCGTTAGTTGTATGTTGTTATAAATAATTTAGCTATCGGGCGAAAAGTAGTTAGCTGTTATAACTAAATGATTCATGATAATTTATAATAACTAACGAGTTATAATCGTTAATCGTTAATCGGAATACTTATAAATAATTTGGATACGGATAAACTGTTATACATAATATAGATACAGATCAATTATTATACATAATTTGGATGCAGATAAATTATCAGAAATAATTTACATGCAGACCAATTATTATAAATAATTTACATGCAGATAAATTACTATAAATAATTTAGTCGCAGTAACTAACGACTTACAATCGTGGATAATTAAACAGTTTACTTTTTCGCTGAAATCTGACGTATTACGAGTTAAAATTTGCACGCACCATTTTGTGCGATTTTTGAAGGTCGGAATAGAGGCGTGTTTCGCAAGCCGAAAGCAAAATGACCATTACATATAACAGTTCCCGTTGCACCAGGTCGTTAACTACGAAGCATGTTCCGAAAGTCCAACGTGTTATCGGTTTTGGACGCGAACTGTCCCTTTTCTCAAAGGGACGCCAAAAAATCGGAAAACCTTGTACAGAGAACGGAACGTACTACACGATCGTACTAATCGGATGTGCCGGATTCTGTTATGCGTGTTCGGAAATAGTCGGAACGGTGAGGTTTATGGCTGCGATACGTCGGTGGGTTCCATCGGTGGTCGTCGAGTCACATTTTCGGAAGATCGGCGAGAGGTTGGTCGGACGGGATCCTGTTTACTCCGGAATTTGTAAACTTGGAAATTTCTTGGGGTTAGCTTTCATTGCCGTTGGGGGAGGGGGGAACCGAAAAGTTTGGTTACTGGAAGTCGGTAAACATTTGCGACCGTTATCGAACGGGGCGCAGTTATCGCGGTGTATTTTTACGATCGCCGATCGTCGCGGCCGCGGCGTTGCACGCGCGCCGCGCCGCGCCGCCGCGCCGGAATATTCAAGCGGACGCGGAAAACAGGCGTGCATCACGCGAGAGAAATATTCGATATTTTTTCAACACGTTCCGTAAATATTTTTTATGCCTATCCATCCGCGAGCTTAAACTCGAATTCTATGAATGCTCGCCAAACGTTGCGAACATCATGACCAGGGGGGGGGGGGGGGGACA